TGGGTGAAATGTCAGGAGAGAATGCTTCTGGAAAATTGCCAGACAGCCTAGAAAACTCACAGCAACCCAGTGATTCCAGCCATGAAAGCCTTGACAATACAACAACAACACAATAATTAATAACACTAATTAATTAATAATTATTATTAATAATAAATATTAATTAATTAATAATAATTAATAATATTCAGATTTCTATCTCTCAAAAAACACCAGCCTTTTGATGTATCTGGGCATTATAGGACTCCCCAATTTGAATTTCTGCATTATATTTAATGGCATAAGATTTTAAATGCCAATTACCAATTATTTTATGTCTTACTTTTATATTATACTTATTTATTTATATGCGAATGGTGTGCATATAAATAATGTTCATTTCTTACCTGGACCAAGAGATGCGGAAGACGTTTGTGGTTTTCGGAGACACTGATGGGCGGGATGACCCATGCCCTCTTGACTCTTCCCGAACTGTCCTTCCGATGCCATGGATTCAATACCGGGGTGTCAATATTGGAGTCCTCAGAACCGAAGATGCCCTTTTAAAAGGAAGGAAAAGCTTCCTGTTACATAACAGGAACTCCAGCACTTTTGACAGCTCTGTCTAAAGTTCAGACCGAAGTCCGAAGCAGATCCATTGCGGGCACTGACATCTGGGACCAAAGTGGAGCAGTAAATCTGCTATGGGTTTTAGTTTGCACTTGTGCCACTGTTTAGACTAAAGTTCAGACTAAAAACCAAAGCTGATTCACTGCTCCGCTGAGATGAGAGCCACTTTTTGCCATGGCCAAGAAAAAGAAGAGGAAGAGAGGTGAAGGAAGAGGAGACTGAGGAAGAAAAGAAGAGAATGAGAGGAAGAGAGGAGTAGCAAGAGAAAGATGGGAAGAGGATGATAGGGGTAGAGGAGGAGGAAGAGAGGAAAAGGAGGAGGAAAGAAAGGGAAACAAGGAGGTTGAGGAGATGCGGAAGTAGAGGAGGAAGAGGAGAGGAAAAGGAGGATAGAGGAAGAAGGAAGGGAGGAAAAGGAAGAGGAAATGAATGGGAAAGAGGAGGAGGTTGAGGAGAAGAGGAAGTAGATGAGGAAGAGGAAGAGGAGAGAAAAGGAGGATAGAGGAAGAAGGAAGGGAGTAAAAGAGGAGGAAAGGAATGGGAAAGAGGAGGAGGTTGAGGAGAAGAGGAAGTAGAGGAGGAAGAGGAAGAGGAGAGGAAAAGGAGGATAGAGGAAGAAGGAAGGGAGTAAAAGAGGAGGAAAGGAATGGGAAAGAGGAGGTTGAGGAGAAGAGGAAGTAGAGGAGAAAGTAAAAGAGAAGGAAAAGATGAGGATAGAGGGAGGAAAAGAGGAGGAAAGGAATGGGAAAGAGGAGGAGGTTGAGGAGAAGAAGAAGCAGAAGAGGAAGAGAAAGAAGGAAAGGTGAGGAGGAAGAGAAGGGAGGAAAAGAGGGAGGAAAGGAATGGGAAAAGGAGGAGGTTGAGGAGAAGAGGAAGAAGAGGAGGAAGAGAAAAAGAAGGAGAGGAGGAGGATAGAGAAAGAAGGAAGGGAGGAAAAGGGGGAGGAGGAAATGAATGGGAAAGAGGAGGAGGTTGAGGAGAAGAGGAAGTAGAGGAGGAAGAGGAGAGGAAGAGGAGGATAGAGGAAGAAGGAAGGGAGGAAAAGGAGGAGGAGGAAAGGAATGGGAAAGAGGAGGAGGTTGAGGAGAAGGACAGGAAAAGGAGGATAGAGGAAGAAGGAAGGGAGTAAAAGAGGAGGAAAGGAATGGGAAAGAGGAGGAGGTTGAGGAGAAGAGGAAGTAGAGGAGGAGAAAGAGAAGGAAAGGATGAGGAGGATAGAGGAAGGGAGGAAAAGAGGAGGAGGAAAGGAATGGAAAAGAGGAGGAGGTTGAGGAGAAGAGGAAGAAGAGGAGGAAGAGAAAAAGAAGGAGAGGAGGAGGATAGAGAAAGAAGGAAGGGAGGAAAAGGAGGAGGAGGAAATGAATGGGAAAGAGGAGGAGGTTGAGGAGAAGAGGAAGTAGAGGGAAGAGAAAGAAGGAAAGGATGAGGAGGATAGAGGAAGGGAGGAAAAGAGGAAGAGGAAAGGAATGGGAAAGAGGAGGAGGTTGAGGAGAAGAGGAAGTAGAGAATGAGAAGGAGAGGAAGAGGAGGATAAAGGAAGAAGGAAGGGAGGAAAAGGAGTAGTAGTAAAGGAATGGGACAGAGGAGGAGGTTGAGGAGGAGGAAGAAAAGGATAGGAGGAGGATAGAGGGAGGAAGAGAGGAAAAGGAGGAGGAGGAAAGGCAAAAGAAGGGTGAAGGGAGGGAAAAAAGAGGAAACATTCTTCCCTGGTAATGCCCTATCTAACTCCAATTTGGCTCCATCATTTGAGTGTAAAAACTGGAATATAATGGATCTCCCCCCCCCCCCCCAAAAAAAAAAAAGACAGTGTCCTCCTTCGTGGCAAACCTCTTGTTCCTAGAGATTTCTGGAGGACAGCTGTGTGGCATTCCTCAATGGAAACCCTAGACCCCTTTGGGGTTTTGTGGGGGAACAGCTGCCGCTCTGCAGGTTTTAGGGCCCTCCTGTCAGAGGAATTCATGGGGAAGGGCACCAAATGGGGGTCCCGTCTATTAGCCGGTGGTGGAAAAAAGGAGAGCATTCTGAACTGTGCAAAGATTCAAACTCATGTGTCAGAGCCTTTGAAGGATTCCACGTATTGCAAAAAATTCTGCTCTTAAGGGCTGCAAAACCCATGTTACTCTACCACAGTGTTTCTCAACCTGGGGGTCAGGACCCCTGGAGGGGTCGTAAGGGGGTGTCACCAAAGACCATCAGAAAACACAGTATTTTCTGTTGGACATGGGGGTTCAGTGTGGGAAGTTTGGCTCAATTTTATAGTTGGTGGGATTCAGAATACTTTTTGATTGTAGGTGAACTATAAATCCCAGCAACTGCAACTCCAAAATGTCAATGACTATTTTCCCCAAACTACACCAGTATTCACATTTGGACATATTGAGTATTTGTGCCAATTTTGATCCAGGTCCATCATTGTTTCAGTCCACAGTGCTCTCTGGATGTAGACGAACTACAACTCCAAAACTCAAGGTCCATGCCCACCAAACCCTTCCAGTAGTTTCTGTTAGTCATGGGAGTGCCAAGTTTGGTTCACTTCCATCATTGGCAGAGTTCAGAATACTCTTTGATTGTAGGTGAACTAGATATCCCAACAACTACAAAATCAATGCCCCTCAACCCCACCAATATTTGTGCCAAATTTGGTCCCGTGAATGAAAATATATCCTGCATATTGAATATTTACATTACGATTCATAATAGGAGCAAAATTACATTTCTGAAGTAGCAATGAAAATAATGTTATGGTTGGGGGTCACCACAACATGAGGAACTGTATTAAGGGGTCGCGGCATTCGGAAGGTCGAGAAACACTGCTCTACCACCCCATTCTTCATGAGAAGCTACATTGCTAAGCCAAAGGAAACCAGTAAGACCTTTTGCAAACTCCCAACAAAAGGCATTTCATCCCCCTCGAAGGGTGACTGGGATGTGGCCACCATCCATACCTTTTGGGCTATAAAAGGAAACCATTTTTCCCATGTCAGGAGAGACTTGAGAAACTACAAGTTGCTTCTGGTGTGAGAGAATTGGCCATCTGCAAGGACGTTGCCCAGGGGTCACCTAGATGTTTTACCATGCTGTGGGAGTCTTATCTCATGTCCTAGCATGGGAAGCTGTAACTGACAGACGGGAGCTCACCCCACTCCCTGGATTGGAACCACCAGCCTTTCCATCTATAGTCCTGCCGGCACAACGTTTCTCAACCTTCCTAATGCTGCAACCCTTTAATACAGTTCTTTATGTTGTAGTGACCCCCCAACTATGCCATTATTTTCATTGCTACTTCTTAACTGTCTTTTTGCTACTGTTATGAATTGTGATGTAAATATCTGATATGCAGGATGCATTTTCATTCACTGGACTAAATTTGGCACAAATACTCGATACGCCCAAATCTGAATACTGGTAGGGTTAGGGGAGGGGAACTGATTTTGTCATTTGGGAGTTGTAGTTGCTGGGATTTATAGTTCACCTACAATCAAACAACATTTTGAACTCTACCAATGATAGAATTGAACCAAACTTGGCACACAAAACTCCCATGACCAAAAGAAAATACTGGAAGGGTTTGGTGGGCATTGACCTTGAGTTTTGGAGTTGTAGTTCGCCTACATCCAGAGAGCACTGTGGACTCAAGCCATGATGGATCCGGACCAAACTTGGCATGAATGCTCAATATGAATACTGGTGGGGCGGGGGGGGGGCGGGGTTTGATTTTGTCATTTGGGAGTTGTAGTTGCTGGGATTTATAGCTCACCTACAATCAAAGAGCATTTTGAACTCTACCAACAATGGAATTGAACCATCGTTGGCACACAGAACTTTCACGACCAATAGAAAATACTGGAAGGATTTGGTGGGCATTGACCTTGCGTTTTGGAGTTGTAGTGCACCTCCATCCAGAGAGCACAGTGGACTTGAATAATGATGGGTCTGGACCAAACTTGGCACAAATACTCAATATATCCAAATGTGAACGCATGTGGAGTTTGGGGAAAATAGACCTTGACATTTGGGAGTTGTAGCTGCTGGGATTTATAGTTCACCTACAATCAAAGAGCATTCTGAACCCCACCAACGCTAGAATTGGGACAAATCTCTCACATAGAACCCCCATCCATGACCAACAGAAAATACTGTGTTTTCTGATGGTCTTTGGTGACCCCCTCGCAACACCCCCCATGAGTCCCGACCCCCAGGTTGAGAAATCCTGGTTTAACCATTTGCACTACCAGGGGTGATGGGAAAGAAGGAGACCTGGGAAGATGGCCCCAATCCCCTTCTTCTTTCCTCCTTTCCCAGTTCTGTTTTGGGCTGCACCAAACCCAAGGGAGCTGTCTGCATTGCAACTTCCTGCCCTTTTCATTCCTTCCCTCTGAAGTCTATTTTCGTTTCTGTTCCGAAAGAATCAGCCCGCCTCCGTTTCTTTTCCCACACATGACTCCCATCTGGGCTCAGTGCTGAACCAGGCCAAAAGCAGGCAGTGAATCCGTTCTGGGTTCTAGTGTGAACTTCAATTGAGCTCTCCTAAGAAACTCCCCAATGCTTCAAGAGAGCTTCTAAGGCAGTTGGGACTAAAAACCAGAGTGGGCTAATAGTACTGATTTGTTGCTTTGAGTAAGAGCTATAGGAGTTGCTTTTAATATATATATATATATATATATATATATATATATTCCAGCAATATTTACAAAGTTGCCTTTCTATGACTCCTTATGGAGATCTAAGAGTTAAATTACATTTACCCTTTATTCGTTATTAAAACGGAATTTTTATTGTTACTGGTTCCATTGCTATTTATGTTTCCATTGCTTTCTACAAACTATATCGAAATATATACAATTAGGAAACGTTTTTGAATTATTGTAATACATATGCATATATGTGTGTGTCTATACATGTAATATTTGTATTGTGTTAGATTTTGTTTTAATGCGTATATTTTTAAATTGTATACTAATGCTTTTATGTCAAGCTGCTTTGAGTTCCCCTTGGGAAGTAAAGAGGAGTATAAATATAATAATAATAATAATAATAATAATAATAATAATAATAATAGTTTTCCAATTGTTCCCTTTTTGTTTATTTATTTGTTATATTGTTATATTGATGTTTAATTGTTTATTATGCTACTGTTTTAACTGTCCCTTAATAGTTTTTATGATGTTTAGCTGTTGTTAACCGCTTTGAGTCACCTAAGGGCTGAGAAAAGCAGTATATAAATGAAGCAAATAAATAAATAAATATTTTATTTATTTAAATATTTATTATTATTTATTTAATATTTTATTATGTATTTATTACATCTTTTTATTTTTATATATGTATTTATTATATGTTTTATTATTTATTTATTATATTTTTTATTTATTGTTATTTATTATTCATTCTTTTATTTTCCCAGTTGTTACCTTTTTTGTTTATTTATTTTATGTATTTAAATATGTATTTACTTATTTTATATTTTCATATTCATTATGATTATTATTTTATTTATTATTATTTTACGTATTTGTTTATTTTATATGCTATTATTTATTTTATGTATTTTTATTTTGTTATTTATTATTTAATTTTCCCAATTGTTTCCTTTGGGGGGGCTTTTGCCCTTTTTTTTCTTTTTGTAAATTCACTGCAAAGAAACCAGAAAAGATCATAGGATGCATCTACACTGTAGAATGAATGCAGTTTGAGAGCCCTTCAAACGCCATGACCCAGTGCTATGGAATACTGGGAGTTGTTTGGCTAAGAAGACTCAAGACCTTGGGAAATGACAACTCCCATCACATCATAGGATTTTGAGTCATGGTGGTTAAAAGTGTCGAACTGCATTCATTCTGCAGTGTGGATGCCCCCAGAGAAGGCTAAAGACCTTGGAACACCACAGCTCCCAAGATCCCATGGCATTGAGCCGTGGCACTTAAAAGTGGGTCTGAACTGCACTCATAAGCAATAGGTAACTTTGCCTTTTCGTGGCTGGAATCAATTGAGCCCCAAATCCAAACAGGGTCCTCCTGCCAAATGGGACCCCGACCCTTTTCTCTCTGCCCTAAAGTGTTATTTGTGCCTCGGCTTTGCATTCCTCTGCAGCAGGTGGCTGGGTATGGATGCTGAGTCCCAAACGCCTGCGCATGGAGGAATGCCACACTCCCTTTGCAGTGAAAAACGACACCAGTCTGGCCCATTTGTTTGGTGTGCAAGAATGGGGATTTGCACTGGTTCTAGAGTTCTGGTTTGCTCCAATATTTACTGTTGCAAGCAATGAATGTGCAGAGTTAAAGGAAGGAAGGACTTTTATGCATGTAAAATCATAGAACCATAGAGTGGGAAGAGATTCCAAGGGCCATCCAGTTCAGGCCTATTCTGCCATATGCAGATCATGTGATCCACCTGGAGCCATGAAGAGAGGCGGGTAAGAAATACATTATTATTATTATTATTATTATTATTATTGTTGTTGTAGGTTTTTTTCGGGCTGTATGGCCATGGTCTAGAGGCATTCTCTCCTGACGTTTCGCCTGCATCTATGGCAAGCATCCTCAGAGGTAGTGAGGTCTGTTGGAACTAGGAAAAAGGGTTTATATATCTGTGGAATGACCAGGGTGAGACAAAGGACTCTTGTCTTCTGGAGCTAGGTGTGAATGTTTCAACTGACCACCTTGATTAGCATACAATGGGCTGACTGTGCCTGGAGCAAACTTTTGTTGAGAGGTAATTAGATGTCCCTGCCTGCTTCTTCTCTGTTGTTGTGCTGTTGCAATTTTAGAGTTTTTTAAAATACTGGTAGCCAGATTTTGTTCATTTTCATGGTTTCCTCCTTTCTGTTGAAATTGTCCACATGCTTGTGTATTTCAATGACTTCTCTGTGTAGTCTGCCTCACTACCTCTGAGGATGCTTGCCATAGATGCAGGCGAAACGTCAGGAGAAATGCCTCTAGAACATGGCCCTATAGCCCGAAAAAACCCACAAGACCCTAGTGATTCCAGCCATGAAAGCCTTCGACAATACAGAAATGTTGTTGTTGTTGTGTGTTTTCAAGTCATTTCAGACTTAGGTTGACCCTGAGTGAGGGCCAGGTAAATGACCTTGGAGGGCCACATCCGGCCCCCGGGCCTTAGTTTGAGGACCCCTGAAACAAAACAAACCTCTATACAACTTGGATACTAATCCAAGTTGTATAGAGGTTTGTTTTGTTTGTTTGATTGTTGTTGTTGTTATTATTATTATTATTGGAGGCCCCATCCAATCCCTCCCAACAGATGGCCATCCAGCCTCTGCTTAAAATGGACTGACTCTGAGGCATATTCCATTGCATATCCCTAACAATAAGGGATGGAGAGCTATGTCCAGAATAGCACATGAGTCTCTCCTTGCATCCCCCAAATTATGACCCCTTCCAAGTGTTGCTAATGCGAGCCACATGGAAAGCAAGGTTCCCGTCCATTCGCCACTGCATGTTCACGCTCCCAGCTGCCTCAATGGAGATTTCACGCTCATTCCTGACTCAGAGGGCAGCTGTCAGGAATAGGAGGGAGGGGGGACCCAACATAAGTCGACATTGCAAAGGACAGAAGCATCCAATGACCACAATGAAACACAATGGTAGTTGTGGAATAGGTGCAAAAGTAACTTCCATGCAATGCATGTTTTTGCAGCCACGAGGGCTTTGCTTTCTTTACATAAGTTTTAGATTGTATTTATGTCTATTAAGTTTTGAGTCTCAAGCTGGCAAGTAGGTGGGATAATACTGAGTCCGGATGGCGATAAGGGGGTATATAGAGAGGTTTGCGCCTAGGAGTGAAATAAATGCAGCTTGACCCCACTTGAAGTGCCATGGCTCAAAGCAATGGAATTATGGGAGTTGTAGTTTGGCAAGGTCTTTAGTCTTCTCTGCCAAAGAGAGCTAGGGCCGCACCAAACTAGACGTCCCAGGGCTTCATCACATTGAGCCATTGCAGTTAAAGTGGTGTCAAACTGCATTCATCCCACCGGGGAGATGCCATGGAAACCTATTGGGTGCACTTGAGCAAGTACCATTCTCTCAGCCTCAAGAGGAAAGACATGACAAACTGAAAAAAATCAACAAATACATAAAGTTTTGTTTTCCCCAACCCACAATAAACCCTCAATAATCCAGAGCCTCCCGTTTCCTAGGTGTGCCAATTCAAATGGAGAAGAAACACAACACTTTTCACTAATTTGCTTGGCTTTTCCGAAACTCCAGAACTTATATATTTTCCACTACAGATAGTTTTGTATTGAGGGCCTCATGCCTTATTTGACTGAAAGTTCGGACCAAAGTCCAAAGCATATTCCTGCACTGACACTGGGACATCAGTCACCGATGCTGTGGGTGTGTGCCTCTCCTTTAACTTAAAGTCACTGAAAGAACCCAAGGCTTATAATGTGGCACTCCTGTAAAGTTCAGACTAAAACCCAAAGCTGATTTATAACTTGCTTGGGATCAGAGCCACTGTTTGCCAGGGCCGAGAAAGAGAATGGGAAGAGGAGGAAGAAGAAGAAGAAGAAGAAGAGAGGGAGAGGAGAGGAGAAGAAAGGGAAGAGAAGAAAAAGGAAGAGAAAGAGAGAAAGGGAGGAAGAGGAAGAAGAGAAAAGAAGAAAGAGAGAGAACGGAAAAGGTGAAGGAGGGGAAGAGGAGGGGAGAAGGAAGAGAGAAAGGAGAAGGAAGAAGAGAAGGAAAAAAGGAAGAGAAGGGAAGGAAGAAAAGGAAAGAAGGAAGAAAGAAAAGAGAAAAAGAAAAAGAGAGGAAAGGAAGAGAAGGAGAGGAAAGGAGGAAGAGGAGAGGAGAAGGAAGAGAAAGCGGAGGAAAGGAAGAGAAGGACAAGAGTAGAGAGAAGGAAGAGGGGGAGGAGAATGAAGAGAGGAAAAGTAAATGGAAGAGAAAGTGAAGAAGAGGAAGAGGAAGAAGCTGAAAGAGAAGAAGAAAGAGAGGGAAAGGAAGAGAAGGAGAAGGAGAGAAGAGCGGAATAATCAAGGCCCTTAACTGTTACCCTTTGTCTGTAATCCTAAATAGGGCAAGCCAAAGGGAGAAGAAACAAAACACTTTCCACCAACTTTTTGGCCCATTCGCTTGCCCTGTACTCACCTGCGTGCCAAGGGTTGCCAAGAGGCAGGAGACTATGCAGAATAAGGTGCCCATTACGTCCGAGACCAGGGTGGGACTGAGACTCTGTCCCCTTTCCTTTCTCTCTCTGTTCTCCTTTGGATAGAGAGCGAAAATAGCCCGGCCGGGTCTCTGACAGACAGCACATGTGTTGCGTTGGGGCCTGGGAGAGGAAGGCCGGATGAAGGAATGGGATGGGGATTGGAGAACTGACGGCATACCTCCCCCTCCAAGATGCAGCATCCATGCACACGGCAGTAGGATTGACACTCAGACCACTGTAGTCAGAGAGATAGAGCTGGGCTGAAAAGCATCTTTCCTTACATAGGAATAGGGTGTAGGATGGAGAGATACATGGCACAAACACTATACATCCCCATTGCAGAAGAGTAGCACTGCGTTGTGTATTCACTCCTTGCAAAAAATATCTACTTATTTTTTGCTTGTTGCTTTTAATCGTTTTTGAAAATAAACAAAAATTTCAGGAACTTGGAATAGTAGCTGGAAAACAGGAATTGCATTGCTATTGGAATGCAACTGTGTTATGCCACATTATTATTATTTGAAACACAACAAGATGAGTCCACAGCAAAAAAGATCACTCTGCTGGCTGTTGTATTGGATCACACGTCGAACACTTCCCAAGGGTCTAGGACTGTGTGATGTATCGGTGAATAATGTGTGCAATTCCCAGTAAAGTGGCCTTTTCCTGCTGGCAGATGGTAATTTTGTCAGCGCCGATTGTGTTTAAGTGCAGGCCAAGGTCTTTAGGCACTGCACCCAGTGTGCCCATCACCACTGGGACCACCTTTACTAGCTTGTGCCACAGTCTTTGCAGTTCGATCTTTTAATCCTATTATTATTATTATTATTATTATTATTATTATTATTATTATATGGAAGGCAATCATATAGCTTGTGACACTATGGAAGTGTAGGATGATGTTTTAGATAGAGATCCTTCCTTAAGCAGGAGGTTAGATTAGATCAGTCTTCCTCCACCTTCCTAATGCCGCAATCCCTTAATTCAGTTCCTCATCTTGTGGTGACCCCCAACCATAACATTATTTTTGTTGCTACTTCACAACTGTAATTGTGCTACTGTTAGGAATGGTAATGTGAATATCTGATATGCAGGATGTGTTTTCATTCACTGGACCAAATTTGGCACAAATACGCGATACGGCCAAATTTGAATACTGATGGAGTTGGTGGAGATTGATTTTGTCATCTGGGAATTGTAGTTGCTGGGATTTATAGTTCACCTAAAATCCAAGAGCATTCTGAACTCCACCAACGATGAAACTGAACCAAACTTGGCACACAGAACTTCCCATGACTAACAGAAAATATTGGAAGGGTTTGGTGGGAGTTGTAGTTCACCTATATCCAGAGAGCACTGTGGACTCAAATAGTGATGGATCTGTACCAAAATTGGCACGAATACTCAATATGCCCAAATGTGAACACTGGCAGAGTTTGGGGGACAATAGACCTTGATATTCGGGAGCTGTAGTTGCTGGGATTTATAGTTCACCTACAATCAAAGAGCATTCTGAACCCCACTAATGATAAAATTGGGCCAAACTTCCCACACAGGACCCCCATGACTAACAGAAAACACTCTTTTCTGATGGTCTTTGGTGACCCCTCTGACACCCCCTTCTGATGCCCCCAGGGGTCCCGACCCCCAGGTTGAAAAACGTTGGACTAGATGCACCCATGAGTCCCCTTCCAACATTTTTTTTTGACCAACGCACAATATCCTTTGGGGTCTCTTCCAACACTATGATTCTAGGTTTCTGTGATATTTTGTACTGTAGGGTTTGACCTGACGCGAAGTACTCTTCCATGTTGTGGGTTGAGGCTTTGAAGGGTGAAGAGGCGGAGAGGAAGAGACAGTGCCAAGCCAGAAAATGGGCACAGCATATGGGAGAGGTAGAGCATGCCATGGGTAGCACATGCATTTTTCTGTTTGCATTTCTGCTCCAAACACAAAACCAGCCTGGCACTCCTTCCTTGCAAGCCACACTTCTGTCAGGAAGAGAGATGCTTTGCAGCAGCTGCAATTTCCATCATTCAAACCCCTTCTTTGCCAGCAGTTCTTGAAATTGCAATCTGGGAAGGAGAGGGAGCCAGCAGCAGGTAGAAAGAGATTGGCAAAGCAATGCTTTTCAACAGCGTGCCTTTGCTCCCAAGTTATGGTGACTCCATCAATACGTTTGTTCAGAGGAGGATTGCTTTTGCCTCCTTCTATGGCTGAGAGAGTGTGACTCACCCACTAGGTTTCCATGGCTGAGCAGGGAGATGAGCCTTGGTCTCCAGCATCACAGTCAATTTCTTTTGCAGTTGAGAGAGTGTGTCTTGCCACTCAATGGCTTTCCTTCCATGCCCAAGAGAGGGTTCAAACCTTAGTCCTCGGCATCATACCCTAACTTCCTCCAAGGCTGAGAGAGTGTGACTCATCCAACAGGTTTCCAAGGCTGATGAGAGATTCGAATCCTGGTTTCCAACTTCATAGTCCAACTTCTTCTGAGGCTGAGAGAGTGACCTGAAATCAGTCAGTGGATTTCCATAGCAGGCATCACAGTCCCGTTTGAAAGTGCCCCGCCATGTTGGCTCTCCGTTTGTGGCTGCAAGAGGAGTCTTTTGTCCAGTCCTGGGTTCAAGCCCAGACTTAGCCATGGGGTTTGTTTCCTTTCTCAGAGAGTGGCTGTTGGCACAGGATTGCTGGAACAGGCCAAGCTGCTGTCCCGTGGGATGTGTTGACAGCCAGAGAGGAATTTTGCAGCTGTTCCGACTCCAGGAATGGTCTTTCCTCGTTCTGCAAATTTTTAAAATCTCTGAATGAAAATCAGTTAAAAATAAGATGCTCTCAGCAATCTGAGGAACGCATACCAGAAATGTCCTTTGCTGTGTGTTGTCAAAGACTTTCATGGCCAGAATCACTGGGTTGCTGTGAATTTTTCAGGCTGTATGGCCATATTCTAGTAGCAATCTCTCCTGGCGTTTCGCTGGCATCTTTGGCTGGTATCTTCAGAGTTTCTGTTGGATGTGAGGCAAGTGGAGTGTATATATGTTGGGTTTAATCCCTGGAATGCATAAGTCTCTTGTGCCATCAAGTTTCCAGACCTCAATGAGCAGCTAGACTAGTAAAGGTAAAGGTTTTCCCTTGACATGAAGTCCAGTCCAACTCTGGGGGGTGGTGCTCATCTCCATTTCTAAGCCAAAGAGCGGGCGTTGTCCATAGACACCTCCAAGGTCATGTGGCCAGCATGACTGCAGAGCGTGCCGTCCTGCCTAAGCGATACTTATTGATCTACTCACATTTGCATGTTTTCGAACTGCTAGGTTTGCAGAAGCTGGGTCTAACAGCAGAAGCTCACCCTGCTCCCCGGATTTGAACCTGCGACCTTTCAGTAAGCAAGTTCGGCAACTCAGCAGTTCAACCCACTGCCCCACCGAGGCCTCCAGCTAGACTAGAAATATGATTAAGCTGAGGGATTCCTTTCCCCACTTTACCATGCATGCTTCCCAAAATCTCCTCCTCCTGCTAGTTGCGGTCTCCTCCCCCTTTGAATATGTAGGAATGGCATTTTGTGAGGGAACTTCCTCTTTTAAGTTGTATTGCCCTGGGTTGACCATGTGGTCACCGCCATTGTCTCTTCTGCCTTTGCTTCCTTCCAGTGAGGATGCATTTTGCCTCTCTCTTTAGGCAAAACCTAGCTGCATGGATTTTTGACTTTTTACCCTTTCACTTCCATAGAAGATGAGACCTAGTAAGCTAATGAGGTCACTATGATGGATTTTGTATTTGATCACATGTTAGACATTTCCCAAGTGTCTAGGACTGTGTGATGTATCTGCAAATAATGTGTGCATATCCCAGTAAGGTGGCCTTTTGCAGCTGGCAGATGGTAATTTTGTCAGCGCCGATTGTGTTTAAGTGCAGGCCAAGGACTTTAGGCACTGCACCCAGTGTGCCGATCACCACTGGGACCACCTTTACTGGCTTGTGCCAGAGTCTTTGCAGTTTGATCTTTAAATCCTCATATCATGTTAGCTTTTCCAGTTGCTTCTCAGCCTGGGATTGCAACATCAATGATCCATACTTGTTTTTTTCCTCATGATCGTGAGGTCAGGAGTATTGTGCTCTAAAACTCTGTCAGTCTGAATTCGGAAGTCACAGAGTAGTTTGATACGTTCCTTTTCCATAACCTTTTCAGGGTTGTGATTCCATCAGTTCTTTGTCAAGGGGAGATGGTATTTGTGGCACAAGTTCCAATGGATCATCTGAGCAACGGTGTTACACCTCGTTTGTAGTCTGTCTGCGCGATCGTCTTGCAACAGATGAGGATGTGATCCATTGTTTAATCTGCTTCCTTGCAGAGCCTACACTTGGAATCTGTCGTCGAATTTTCAATTCTGGCTTTGATGGCATTGGTTCTAATTGCTTGTTCTTGGGCTGCAAGAATCCCATTATTATTGTTGTTGTTTGAAACACACCAAGATGAGTCCACAGCAGACAAGATCACTCTGCTGGCTGTTGTACTGGATCATATGTTGGACACTTCCCAAGTATTTAGGACTGTGATAATAATAATAATAATAATAATAATAATAATAATAATAATAATGTTAGTGGTCCATAATAAGGTGGGTGCTAGAAACAATATCATACAAAAGCTGACTGGCACAACCTGGGGATCACAACCAGACACAATGAAGACATCTGCCCTTGCGCTATGCTACTCTGCTGTTGAGTATGCATGCCCAGTGTGGAACACATCTCACCACACTAAAACAGTGAATGTGGCTCTTAATGAGACATGCCGCATTATCACGGGGTGTCTGCGCCCTACACCACTTGGGAAACTATACTGTCTAGCCAGTATTGCACCCCCTGACATCCACCGGGAAGTTGCAGCCAATAGTGAAAGGACCAAGGCAGTGACATCTCCAGCTCATCCCTTGTTTGGGTATCAGCCAGCACGTCGACTTAAATCAAGAAATAGTTTTCTAAGATCTACAGAGACACTCGCTGGAACACCTCAGCAAGCGAGAGTCCAAAAGTGGCAGGCTCAAACCCAGCACCTCAATCAATGGCTGATACCAAATGAGAGACCCCCCTGGGGACACAGAAAACTGAGCGACTTGGAAGGCACTGAACAGACTGCGCTCTGGCACCATGAGATGCAGAGCCAATCTTAAGAAATGGGGCTACAAAGTGGAATCCACGACATGCGAGTGTGGAGAAGAGCAAACC